TTTATCTACAGAAAGCATGCGTTTTAACCTGATTTCTGATCAAGACTTGAGGATTGGTTCCTCACAACTTGGTGCTTTTTGAAAGCTTTCACCTCTATACACAGGGAGTGTAAATGCTGCACACCATAATTTGGCAGTATTACCATACAAAATTTCTCACAGGTACAAGTTATTATTCGAAGCAGAACAATGAGTAGATCAGACAGCATATATTCCCTCACAGCCAGATAAATTCTGTATAGATGTCAACATCACCTTACTCGCAAGAAAACATCCAAAAGAGCATTTTCTATTAATGCATGGTCTATCTGATTTTATGAGAGAGCAACATAAATGTGAAGCACATATTATCGGTCTCTCATTAACTCAATATGAATAGAGGATCAAAATCAATTTTAATAATTTAGAAACCATTATTTTTCTTATTTAGGATCGTCTGTGGTTTTAAAGCCCATCTTCCCCAGGAATATGAATAAATAGTTGCCTCTGTGCTATTTTGACCATAATACTACTATAAAATAACACCCCCCCAAGTACTGAAAATGATCAAAACCACCTGAAAATTGAAATACAGCCTTACAATTGGAGTCACACAACCTTTGCTTTTATACAGAGAACAAGCTGTCATAACACTGCCCTCCCATCTGTAACCTCTATGTGTTCTCACCTGCCCACTGCAACAAGAGTTTCTTTGTCTTAAAGGCCTGTTTGTGTAACACTCCTTGTTTAATTTAGACTAAAACAAAAAATAGCAAATAGTGTACACTTCACTGAATTTGCATTAAAGCTCAGTTACTTATATGGTTCAGCTATGCCAAAGGATTTATTAAGTTTCCTTTGGTTTACATCTGGTTTTATATCACATGAAATAGAGAAAGAAGAAGGGAGAAAAAAAATCTCAACATAATATAAAAGCTTTCAAAAAACAACGCATTTCCTTTTCTCCCAATTCAATCACTTACGCACTCTTTTTTTCCCCTCTCAGGAGCCTCTTCATTTTAATACACCGATACCAAGTTCCACTGCTAATTGTCATATTATAGGTTACATATAATAAAAAGTTGTCTTTTTCCCCAAGGACAAGGCTGCTGCTTCTCCATAAACTGCACTGATGGAAGAATCTAAAAAAAATACAGATACCTACATACAATAGAGGAAAGGACTGTAAATTTTTTTTAGCTCAACTTCAGCAAGATTAAAAGAAAGCAATCAATACATTTGTTATTTAACTAGTGTTGATATAGTATAGAGGTTTGGAGATCATGTTAAACAACAGACCAGTAGTACTTAAAGACAGTGTTCAGATCACAATTTACTGAAGACTAACAAAATGAGTAGAAAATGGACAAATGAGATGATTCTCAAAGTGCTAATAGCTTTACCAAAACATCAGAATTTCAATTTCAAACCTTGGTGAAGGCTACCATTCAACAACTATCAAGTTACTTACCTGAGGTTGACCAATGGTCAACTGGCTCTTTAAAAAAGCCACTACATTTATTAAATAAGTACAAGGGACAGATTCAAAAAACAATAAAACAATCAACAAAACAATCTTAACCTGTCCAAGAAAGTTATCTTAAACTAGAAGTACACTCTTTCTTATTCTTTTCTCGGTCTCCTCTGTCTGGAGATGCAATCAAGTTACAAAGCTAGCCAAGTTATAAGCCTCGTAAATTCTTATCAAATCTGTGCTTTCATAGTAAGCAGTAGAAAGGTCTTTACTGAGAATGTACTTTGATATGTCAGTTCAGGGACTTCATTCAAGAACCTTAACTGCACTCAAGTGTCAATACGAACTGAAGGAAAAAAAAATGGAGTACCTTGTAAACACGCTAATTCACAGCTTCACATGGCAAGGGAATGCATGAACAGTGAAAAAGAAGAATCTGAACTATTACATGACCTGGAGGTACAAATATCTCCCAAGAAAACAAAAAATAAGAGTGCTTCACTAACAAAACACTTAAGACACAATCTAGAAGCAGGCAGTCACTTTCAAGATACTGAGCAGCCAAATGAGCAAGTGAACTTAGACCTTCTGTAGGGAAGAGGAATGCTGTGATCATCTAGAGTGTCTTCCTTGATTATCTTCCTACTTTCTTGATTATCCTCCTACTTCACCCTCAAACCAACCTCATTGCTTCTATAACCTTTTCAGCTTTAGCTGTGTTGCCTGCAATTTAATAATCATATTGTTGTCCAATTCCACCTCTGTAATGCAATTTAAAGCCAAGTAGCCAACTAACTCAGGTTGAATCAAGTAGTATTTAGAAAATGTATAAAATACATACACACATTGGTTTCACATTCTCACATCTCAGAAATGCTGAAGAAGACAATGAACAAGTTCCATCTCAAGATGTATCCTTCCAAGGACACAATCCATAGGTAACCCCACAGGGAAGCTCACGTTTGTCTCCTTTGCTGAGAAAAGGTTTTGTTAGTTTTAAAGACTCACATTTCAGCATCTTGAATGAATCCAAATGTAATCTCCCAGTTGCCACTTTGTTTCTCCTCTATTCTTACCACTGTAACTTATGTGCCTGCTTTCAACACCTGGCAAAATTTTATCTTTAATAACTGCCAACCTATAGTATCTACTTCTGCTGCTTTTCAGAAACATGTCCAGAAGACAAATGGAAGTTTAGACTTCACAGAAATAATTCCTTCCCAAAGAATAACAAAGGAAAAAAGAGCAAAAGACTCTCAAAAGAAATAGAAAAGTCTTAAGTAGATTCAACTTGATTCAATAATCTTAATTCAATGTTGATAATTTTTTAAAAATAAAATCAATGACAAGTCTTTAAACCATTTCATACTTAGAAAAACTTCTATGTAGACTGTGTCTGGTAAAGCTAATAGAACTTATTTAATATTAACTTTTACCTCATTAAGCAAGAGGATATAGTTTTAAGCTAGACACCAAATCCAGAAAGTGGTAAAATTCATGTATGTGAAAGATAACTTGTAAGCCATACATGCTCTGCTTTCTAGAATTTGTCTTAAACACAAAACAGGCATTTGAGTGGTTGGTCCCCTATCATATATGCTGGCACAGCATGTAGGAAGGCAGAATGCTACAACCTAGCTTTAACTTACAAGGGAACAAGATATAAACTGCTGGAACAAGGCTTCTGTTATTTTTTGTTTAAACATTCTAGCTTTAGTTTCTACTGTACGTCAGAATCTGCCTTATGGAGGAAACACATCTAGCTGTTTTAGCACAAAAAACATTTCTATTACATTTCCTTCCTCAAGCTTCAAACTCTGTATCAGTCTGGCAACATAACTATCACCTTCCCTAATACAAATTTAAAGAGCAATGTGAATCATTGCATTTCATTACTTTATTTTGTTTTAAAATCCTTCCTCTCCAATCACCTCATAAAAATGAACCCAATAAATGACAGTAAATACACTAACTGCACCTTCTTCAAGAACTGTCTGCTTTACATCAGACATCCCTGAATCACCACTGTCACTCTTATGCAGAAAGGGAAGTGGGACATTGGAAAGGAGGCAATTCAGCAATTCTAGCAAGTAGATAAGAGTTCCTGGAACGTTGTTTTAGATGACTGCTCAGTACTTATGGCAGACTGTTTTTGAAAAAGTTACACTGAAACTGGCTTTAATTTACTGCTAAGTGGAAGTAAATCCACAAGTAAATCTGTGTTCTGTGCAGCATAGGGAAGTTAAAATAAAACCTATTTACATAATGCAGTCATTTATGTCAAATTTCCCTTAGTATAAAATGTTCTTATTTCCTTTGCAACACAATGACTTTTGTATGTACAACAAATACAGGTTATTAAAGGAAGACACTATAGGCTCAGTGCTAAACAATTCTTCCAGAACTTCTAGTAAGGTTGCATCTAAATGAATGCTTTTATTGTACTTAGGAATTCAAACAGAACACATCAAGATCTACACGCATCGCTCAAATAGTCTGAACTGCATTTTTGTTCCTGTTAGGTAAATTGCATTAAGCATCTTCACAATTGAAGGGTCTTTAAATACTTCCCCAAAATAAAAATCCTTGCATGGTAAGCAAGCTTCATGTCAGTTATCAAGCACAGTAGGACTGCCACAGTACACTGAATAGCTACAATCATTACTGAATACGTGGAAAGAACACACACATCATTCAAACATAACAGCAGTGACATTTACAGTAACGTGGACATTTCACTGCTTCTACCACCATTTTCATCAGCAGTAGAACAATACCACAAACCTATCTGTATGCTCAGGTGCAGATAGAACAGCAGGGATACAATTTGTCCATTCACCGCCTATAGGTCTAAATGTATATATATCACAAATGACAGATGACAATTGTCACATCACAGCTGTATCCCTTCTCAAAACAAAACTGCAGATTTTTCCACAGAAATCCTTGAAATATTATTTTGAAAATTATATGTACTAATATCAAATATTAATAACCTTCTTACCCACCACTGAAACAGTACACAAAGTAGACACTCGTCCTGGTTATTAAAAACGGAAACATTGCAAATCAGGAATCCATTAGGTTTCTGAACAGACTTCTCAGCTCTCACTAACATTAGCGTCACCTTATGCTAATATCGTACAGTATCTCAAAAACATGAATAATATTTTGTTCCAATTCACCACTCATGAAAGGTCTATGTCAACATCCAGAGTTAAGGTGGTCAAGCTCAGACCAGATACCAGTCACTCACTCTCTGCCACAGACTGTCACACATACTGTAAGGCCTCGTGAACAAGTAATTACAATGAAATTAATGTTTTATGAAGGAAATGTTCTTGGTTTTAAAGGTCGCAAAGTGACAGATAAGAGCACACAGCAGAACAAATGCAGCAAATTACTGTTTGACATGCGGGGTCAATGAATCCAAACAATAAATAGTTCTGTTTTTTAAATAATTAAAAATGTCAAGACAATTTCTGCAGACAAACAGTGTTAAGTATGCAGACAGAAAGTCTACTTTATATTTAAATGTTTCTCTTACCTGTCCTGTGACTGCTCCTCATACATTCTTTCCTTTCCTTCTTTGAAGAGTCTGATAGCCCGTTTCGATTTTTTCATGAGACTATCAATGTAGATTTTAAAATACTCATTCTCACTGAGTTGTGCAAGTTTTTGGTTGTCATCATATTTGCTCAGTATAAGTCGCAAATGTTGATAGGTGTCTGGTAAAATGTCAAGAATGTAGGGCGGGCTGTTTTTGAGTTGAAGCTTTGGGTTTTGGCACAGTCTCACCTACAAGCAAAAATAAGTGAATTTTAAAAGACAGTAAATATGTTGGGGGCAAAAAAAGACCTGAAATCTTAAAAATGCACAAGCACATTCATCCAGCTTTCAGAAATGAAGAATTAAGCACTACCTCATTTATATTCCATGAAATCTCAAGATAGTCCCTGATGTCAAAGGAAATCAACTTTGACGTAATGCTGTCACATTTATGACAAACATAGTTTGTTTGCATAGATTTAAGGGAAGAAAAACTTTGCCTGCTCACTATATGCCAGGAAGTATACTAGCAAAACACAGTATTGCAAGTCATGCCAAGAGTAGTTTCATAGTAATAGAAAAATAACTTGTTCTCAGACCTGGAATCATTACCTTCCTAAATGGCACAAAAAATAATTGAATAATGTATTCAAAGAAAGAAAAAATAAGCTTCAGATGAATTGAATATCTTTATTTGAATTCAGTCTTCACCAGAAATGTTTCTGGAAGAAGGTGATACTGTTTTTGTTTCCAGAACACATCCATATTTAGAGTAATTATGTCTTTGCTACCTAATATTATCTGGTCGTTTGTTCCGTAGAAACTGAAGGAATCAAAACTAACAGGCTTTGAATACTATTGTATTGATATAGTTGAGTAACCCAAGCTCAGCTAAAATACTGCAGAGGGATATGTTCTACATGTGCATTCATATCTATAAGAAAAATAAGCCCATGACATATAAAAATGTTATGGGTATCATTTGGGGATTGTCACAGTGTATATTAGTGACTTTGACAATTCTTATGAGGTAACTAACAGCGTTGTTGAGATAATTAACAAGGTTGTAAAAGCTTCTTAATACTGCTGAAAGACAACTCCTATTCCTAGTAATGTATCAACTTCAAAAAAAGTGCACAGTTTTGAGCATTTCAGGGAGGGAGAGAGGAATATTTGTTTCGTATAGATCCCTTTGTAAACTCAAATCTATATTGCTAGCTCCTCTCCCCATTTCTTGACCTACATCATTAAGAACTAACAGACTTTCATGGATTACAAACTGTTAAGTGAAAACATAATTATTTCTTTCTCAGAATGAAACGTATACCAAAACATATCACACAATGAGATTTAGGTAACTGTGATTAGAGAAGCGGAGACAGAAGAATAGACAGAAGTCAAGCACTGACAAGTGAAAAAAACATATGTCTAGTACAGTGCAAACTCATTAGTACTACAGAATCACAAATATTCAAAGAAAGTATTTAAAACATTATATTCGCAACAGTTCCCTCATATTATTGATCCATTTTTATTTCAGTGATTGATACTGCTCTTCCACATACTAGACCAAGTAATGGCTCAGAAATCCATTTGATGTACTGTAAAAGAGATAGTCCTTCCCACAGAGAAATTTACAGTCTTGGTAGGAAACAAGAAGACAGAAGATGGATACAGGCAAACACAAGGACACGAACACAGCAAAATTCAACATGGTAGTGAGTGGTTCACTGTGCTGAGTATTTCTAGGTATAAACAGTAAAGAAAATCTTCAAGGCAAGCTGTAGAATAATTTAAGTGGATCATAAAGGAATTCCTCCTAAGATGAGTAGAAAGCTGGAAGGGAATAAAAAGAAGCAAAGCATAAGGATGTTTGGTAATCTCATGAGTGAGTGATGAATTCTGGAGCTGCAAACCACAACTGCGAGAGACTTGGAAAAGATGTTTGTATTTAAAGTGATAAAGAAAACGTTATCAGAATAAAACATCACAGTCAAAACCATGGGTTAGCAGATGCCCACAGTACCGTTCTCAAAAAACATAGATCAGATATGGTAGTATTCTTTAAAGGTCAGACAAGAAAACCCGAACTTACTAATGGACAACATAGCAACTCCTGGATAACTTTTAAAAGAATAAATAGATACAGAAGAACATGCTTGCTCTGAAGGATTCGGAAACAGCTTTAAAAATAACAGTCCAAGTAAGTGAGTTGCCTGAGTGATGAGGAAAGGAACTAATGAGAGACTTAAAATGGAGATTACAAATTTTATTTTTGTTATGCTGAAATTAAGCTGACAGACAGAATTCTTTAAGGACATTTCAGAAATTTCACATGTGCAGACAGATTTGGAAGTCAAACATGTAGAACACAAGAATTTCTTTTTGAAGTAGAGTTAGGAAAGAACTGAAATCCTAAAGATAAGAGTAAAATTTTCCCAGAGAAACTCTTATGAAAATTGCAGACCTTTTTCCATGTGAACTTCTGTTTTCTGCAACTTATGATTTAATAAAAATGTGAATCAATAAAGATAGACATTCTCTCAAAGCAAACTACAGATGCCACCAATCAATATCACTGATTAGATGTTACAGCTTTCTGGTGCAAGGAGCACAGTAACAAAAAAATAACAGTTTAAAGGAGGAAAATATTTACTCAGGAAAATAATCAGCAATGAGGAGACTACAAGCAGGGAAGGCTGCAATCATTTTAATTGCTTATTTATCCTCACTTTTCTTAAATCTCACGATCAAAGAATTAACTCTCTTTCTGAAGTCTGTATTTTCAATCAAATGTGTCAACAAGCAGAATGTGAATGGCTTTGTGTATACTAAACTACAATTAAAAATAATTGCTTATCCTGGATAAAAAAAATTTGCTTCTGCTGAATGTTGCATTTTAAACAGTGAGTCCATTTAAACATAAAAAGAACATCCAGTTTAAGTGAAGAATTATTTTCTCTTTCAGATGTTCTAGAAAGTATTTTTCAGTCTGGTGATATTAGTCACACACACACACACACACATCAGAACAAGATCCTGTGGTCATGGTTTACCAAACTATGTCTTCTCTTCAACTTATTAAAATAAATGCAGAACATTAGCAGAACTCTTATCTCCAGAACAATTCTTTAAGAAAGAAAATCATACAAAAAAAATTTGAATTGGACAGCTTAACTAGTTTTATGCATTCTCACTGGAAGAAAAAAAAGAAAGCTAACTTTCAGTTAGAGTTAGGGGTCCAGTGAAGTAGTACAAGGCTTTCTTTGCTTTTATTGATTGCACAAGGTTTCAGCCCAAAGGAAGTCAGTTTGTAAAGAAATGGCTGGTAAACCATATGGTTTCCAGAGTCAGGATGTCCTGACACGTACTACAGCAGTTCACAATTAAAAGCAAGCAATAAGAAATGACAGCTGCTGACGCAAAAGATTTACCAATCCACAGAAGTGGTGTACATACCTTTCTTCAAAAGAAAACAGAACTCAAAGCAAAACAAAGTAACAAAAATAAAAATCTCCATACTACGTTTTACAGAATGGTCCTCACCAACACTTCAGCAGCAGACATGAATCATATCACTGCAAGACTTGTGTATTGTTGTGACTAAAAGCAAACATGTATATATTTAACAAGCAGTCTCAAAAAAAAAAAAAAAAAGAAAAGGAATCAGGTAGTGAGTTACTAAGAAATGTTTCTCCCATTGAAGTAAACTAAGAAAGCTAAGCTTCTTCCACTGTCTCATTGTAAATTCAAGTATTTACTCTAGACCTACAGGAACAGTAGAGTGCAATTCTATCTGTGAATAACTAGAAGATTGCCCTAATCTAACAGAAACAGACTTTGAAACATTTAACTCAAAAACCTCTGGACAAGGATACTCTAGCCCCCACCAAAAAAAAAAAAAAAAAAAAAAGAAAAACATTTGTCTCCCAAAGACACGCACAAAAAAGCTAGTCTTCAAATCGAACATACTTGACTGCAGATTTAAAGCTTTATAATTATTTAAAGCTATCTTCAGATATGAGAATAATGGATAGCCCTTCTCTTTGAGACTATGGACTTCTTTCAGAAAGCTGTAACTTCTATTCACTTTTTACTGCAAAGTTGAAAGCCCTACAGTGGTATGACAAAATAACTTTTACTCAAGCAAAGTACAGCAGCTCCAACATAATCTGTTTAAACACCTAATGCTAGTCAAGGACAAAGAAAGGAAAGCAACAACTAAAACAGTATCTAACAAGCAGATCTGCTAAACACTGTTTTCAGCTGCTTTGAATGGACTAAACAGAGCATCAGTTCTCTTACACTTCCAAAACTACACCTTATAAACCTCTACTGATCTGGGTTTTTCTGCGACACTGTACAAAAAAAGTCAAGCATTAAAAAGCATTTCTAAATAACATAGCATAAGTGAAGATCTGAAGATACCAAAATAATTCTTCAGAAAAAAAACCACAATACACAATGCTATCAATTATAAAGACCTAACAAAAGAGGGGTGAATCAAGAAAATAAATGAAGTGCAAGGATGACGCTCCTTCAACATATACTACATTCCTGCCAGAAATTACATTAAATGCAAGGAACTTTATTTTCCACTGGATGTGATACCAACCAGATGGACCTAGACAGGTTTGAGCAGCAGGTCCAAGAGAACCTCATGAAGTTTGACAAAGGCAAGTCAAGGCAATATCCACTACATTAGGGGACAAGCTGGAAGATGAAAGGATTGAGCACAGCCCTATTGAAAAAGACCTGTGGTTACTGGTGGATGGCAAGCTGGACATGAGCCAGCAGTGTGCCTTCACAGCCCACAAAGCAAACCATATCCTAGGCTGCATCAAAAGAAGCATGGCCAGCAGCACAAGGGAGGTGACCCTGCCCCTCTGTTTGGCACTGGCAGGGCCTCACTTGGTGTACTGCATCCACATGTGGAGTCCTCAGTACAGGAGAGACATGAACCTATTGGAGCGTGTCCAGATGAGGGCCACAAAAATGATCCAAGGGATAAAACATCTCTCCTATGAGGACAGGCTAAGAGTGCTGGGGCTGTTCAGCCAGGAGAAGAGATGGCTCTGAGATGACCTGATAGTGGCCATCCAGTATCTAAAGGGGAGTTATGGAAAAGAAGGGGATGGACTCTTTATCAAGGCCTGTTCTGATAGGACAAGAAAAAAATGGTTTCAAGCTTAAAAAGAATAGATTTAGGTTAGATACAAGGAAAAGAGTCTTTTATAGTGTGTGGGGGGGGGGGGGGGGGGGAGCGGCACTGGAACTGGTTGCCCACAGATGTGGTGGATGCCCCTTCCCTGGAGAATTTCAAAGCCAGGCTGAACAAGGCTTTGAGCAACCTGATCTAGCTGTAGATGTCCCTGTTCAACGCAGGAAAGTTGGATTAGATGGCCTTTAACAGTCCCTTCCAAGCCTAAGGATTCTATGATTCCCCCAAAAGAAGGCTTCTCATCAAAATATATTTGGAATATATTTGGAAGTGACCAGTGATGAATCTTTTCAGCTGAGCAAGCAGTAAGCAGTTGTTGAACATCTATCATGTTGCAACTGAACAATATGTTTCCATGCTGGTAGAATACAAAGTAACAATGCTTACATTACATACCCAGGGGAACACCTGACTTTGGAGAGTCACTTATACTTTGTTGCAATTAGGAAAGGAGAAGCTTCCATTTCTCTATTTAAATTCTTATCCACAAATAATCTGTGCAGACATAGAACTTGATATCAACTTCAACCAGGTAATATGCTGAAAAATACCATGGTTATGACTGTTGATTTCCTTTTCTAGATCCCTTTTTGGAACAATGACATTTAATGGGTTTGCAATATTGTGCATTAATGTAATAATCACTCTGTTGCAAAGAACACCCAATCAGCACAGGGTTTCAAGCTGTTGAACTGCACTCCAGTTGCTCATATTCAGTTGAAAACTTGTCTATTGACAGTGGCATTTTAAAGGAAAAAACACTGCTTACTAAGTTACAGCAGTAATACTTCTTTTACTCCCTAGGTCAGTAGTACAAGCTTTGGAGATGCACTCCAATTTGCTCTTCGATAATTAGTAAAATAGTAAATCCTCATTTGCAATGTCAAATAACTAGGTGAGTCAAGCACACAAACACTTCCTTTTGCCAACCTTCACAGTAGAAAGCATCATTTTCTGAGCCAATGTGTTAAAGTATTGAAAAAATGATTGAAAGTTCCTGTAATATTCCTATTTAAAAAAAAAAAAATCCTCTTCAGAACATGTCACAATTCCACCAGTTTAAAACCCACCATAGTATAACATGCACAATAGTACTGCCAAGTCCAAACAGCCAGAGCAGTAAATTAAATGAACTGCTCCCATGCTTTATATAATAGACATTCTCTCTCAAAGTTCTTCCCAAGATAACCATCATCTTCCAGTAGTAATGCATGCCTAGTTTCAAGGTTTTAAATTCATTAGGCAGAGCTTTTACATACACCATAAAACCTATCTTATAAAATACCAACATTGGTGGTCATGGTTAATATCTTATTGTTGAAGACAAATAATTCATACAGGTGATACCACTTACTAATAGAGGAAAAAGCAGAGAGCATGCAAGGAAATGTACAGAAAGGAAGGAGGAAAGGAAATGTAAACTGGGAAAAAATGCTTCTAGTTTTTAAGACTACTCTTTTTCCATCCTTTGGTCAAATAACAGCTTTGCTTTGTTTTCATCTTCCCTTTCACTCACATCTTTAGAATGGAAGAAAACTTTTGCCACCTAACCACAGCAAAACAATGGTTATCACAGCTATTATAGACAAAGAACAAATGAGAATGATGACTGTTATTACAAGAAGCAAAAACAGACCTCAAAGCCACAATCTTACCTTGGGTGGCATCCCACTGACTTTGCATAGCCTACTGCCTTCACTAGGTATTAATTTTATCAGTGAACAACCACAGACATCAGTCATGGGATATGCTGCAAAAATGGGATTTCAAGAAACACTTGAATGAGCAGGTTTCTATTTCTGACTTAATCCTTGGTTTTGAATTTAGGAAGATAACAAAATGGTCTTCCTGTGCCTACTGTCGCATGAGGCTGTGACTTAAATTTGTTTGCCAACATATTAAATTTACTCAAACACATCCTTTCACTCTAAGCACCAAACACTAAAAATTCAAGCAGAAAGCTACAGCATTCTCACACTATGACATCATCCTGTCTGGTATACTTTAATATAATTTGGAAATAAAATTTGATTAACTGAGAGCAGCATAAAGAGGATACATTAAAGATCCAAATTGAGGACACTTATCCAGTAAAATGAAAAAAAGAAAGCACAGTAGAGTGTCCAGCCTTTCCAGTGAATTTTACAGAACAGGCCTTGCTGGCTGCTCTGATGCTCTGTCAACAAATAAAGTTACCCTATAATAGATGAGTAAAAGTAATCTGCAAGTCCAAGCACTGGGCTTACGATTTTCTGGTACTTGTGAACACACAATCAACCCAAGGACAACTGTACCATACAGACTTGTAAATTAAGCTGTACATTCCCCACATGGCTTCAGCAATGACACATTAGGTTCCTGGTTTACGAGCAGAAAACTTCCCTCTACCAAAGAAAAGTGCCTGCTTCCAAGGATTTATATTTGCACTTCTCATTACAAGATGCCCACTGTTTACAGCATCCTAATCAGTAACAGGAAAACGCCAAAGACTTTGTGTTGATTCATACAATACCATTTGTATGAAAGCTGTTTTTTTTTTTTTTTTTTTTTTTTTTTTTTTTTTTTTTTTTTTTTTAAGTTTATAATCACTGTCAGGAATTGTGGTAGAAATACTCTTGCTATTCTTGTAGATTAAAAAAAAAATCAAATACTTCCAAATCACCACTCATCAAGGCCCATTATGTTAAATTAACTCTCTCTGCTACAGCAGTGTAACTACAGGGGAACTTCAAGAGGTGTTGAACACCTGCATTTCAGAAGAGTCCCAGGGAAAGCAAACTGTTACAACTAATTCCTGGAGTTAAAAAGTAATAACACTTGATTTAAGGACCTAAGGCTAACAGCTTCAAGAGGAAGCTGTCAAGCATCACTCATACACAAAATAGAGTGCATGCACCTCCTGAACAGCTATCTGTGCAATAAATCAAACTATTCCTATCATTGGTAAGAAACTCTCCTAGCTAATCTACAGCGAGGTTTTATCTTGAATAATGCTAAACAAAATTTCTGGGGCTGGCTCAGGGACATAGGAGAAGATCTAGAAAACTGAAGTCTATCCTCCTGTTTCCTTAAAAATAACTTTTGGTAGAGTCTATTACTAGTTTCAGAATGAAAATATGAAGTACTTTAGAAATCATAGAAATGCAGAGCACACACTGAAAAGTTAGGTGCGCCATACAAATCTGTTTACAGAACTGACAAGAGTGACATCTCCCAGTCCCCACGCACATTCCTAAAAGCACAAACGTATCTACATTACCATCATGAGCACGTCTCACAGGACGATGAGCTTAACTAAGTTTCATGCTTCAGAGGTCTTGTTTGCAGACTAACAACGTGATCCAACGCAAAACACACAGAATACGTGATTACAAGACCAAGTTAAGCAGTTTCTTGTTAGGACAGCTCAGCTTTTCAAGTTTGAGTCATTTTAAAGGATCTGAAAGTAACAATAGCCTGAGGCAAACACACATATTTGTTTTCCCAACACAAACCAAGATTAAATAGAAAAAAAACCACATAGCCGGAGGCCACAGGAAAGAGGGGAAAAAAGAGATGAACCGCGCTTAAATAACCTAAGACTGAAGAAGCCCCCTTACTTTTCATAGCATGCAGAGCACGGCAATTGAAGCTGCAGGAAGATGCTGTTTCCCCACGTGCATCTGTTTAAATATCCCCATTCTTCGCCCAGGGCGCACACATACACACTCACCACTTTGTCCATGAGCTTCCAGGTCTTCTCCACAGTCCTCCGGTCGGCAGCTGCCTGCTTGGGGGGGCCCACAGCATCCTGAATGGCGTCGATGAAGCCCAGGATCCGTCCTTTGCGTGGGTTCCGACCGTTCTGGGAGTTGGCCATCTGGGAGCTAGGCTGACCGCGGGGACAGAGAACAGAGACTCACAAGGTGCTTCAAAACATCTTGTCAGGCAGCCAGCGAGGTAACACTTCCTTCTTCACAGGCAGGAAAGGGCAAGAGCAGGGCACGTTTAGGAACAACTTTAACTTCCCGTGACAAACAACCTAAACCCACCTGGGCTGTGTTTATTATAGCGGAGGCCATCGCGGATTTATCGTCGACGGCCCCGCCAAGGGCTGGGAGGGAGGGGACAACAAAAGCGGGAGACGTGCCGCGGCCAAAGGGAAGGAGAGGAGAAAATAAATCAGTGCGGAGCGAGGGCGCAACCAGAGAGGCCGCGGACAGAGAGGCAGAAGACAGACAGACACTTACGCACTGAGCGGCACCGCACGGCGCGGCACCGAGCGCGGGCTCCTCCGCCGATCCGCACCCCAGGGCGCAGGGCCGCGGCTGGCGGGGCGTCTCGGCTCTCCCGCTCACCGCCCCGGAGGGCGGCCGGACCGCATCCCGCGCCCGTCGCTACCGCTGCGCCGCGCCGGCCGTCAGCGAACGTCGGCGATCGCCGCCGATATACGCGCGAGCTCCGGGAGGAGCTGAGCCCTGCGGCGCTGCCGCTGCCCCGCGGACAAGCCCGGAGCGCCGCTGCCCCGCCGCCCTGCCCGCCCCGCAGCCCTACCCGCCGCTGTGCGCGCCCGGGTGCGGCGAGCGAGCGTCCGGCAGCAACGCGCGAGAGAAGAGATAGAGAGAGGCACACGCACAGGTCTGTATGCGGCACAGCTCGCAGCCCCAGGCAGGCTGCGGTCTCCGCGCGATCCGAGAAAGTGAGGCTGGCGAAGCTCCGGCTGCCCCGTTCCCTCCCCCGCCCCGCGGCGCTCTGGCGGCCGCTCCTCTCCTCGCAACATGCCCGCCCCGAGGCCACGGCTCGGCCCCGCGCATGCGCGCCGGGAGGGGAGCGGAGCGGAGTGGGCTGCGACTCCTCGGAACTCCGCCCTGGTCCCGCGGGCGGGAACAGCCGCCCTCCGACAGCCAATCAGAACGCAGAGATGGCTTTGCTTGACGTGGAAGCCAGCAAGTGAGCTTGAAGCTGGGCAGGGGGCGGGAAAGCGGGGGCCGGCGATGTTGAGAGTGATAGGAAAACTGTCCAGTGGGAGGGCTGGAAAGAGGGAGGAGGAGCTTCCGGTCCCGCCCCCTCACGCGTGCCCGCCCGCTTGAAGCCCTCGGAGTCTGGAGTGGCAGTGAGGGGTTTTGGTTTTTTTGGGAGCTTCGTTGCATGGTACGGGGCTCTGGGAAATGCGTCCTCTTGAAGCTGCTGTGCTTCTGTCCCGTCGAAGCGCCCAATGTGTGTTGAGGATCAGTGGGCTTTCTCCTTGCCTTCTGGTGTTTTCTGCCTGTACAGCTCTTGTTCACACTTGTGAGAGTTTTGTTGTTGCTGCCACAAAGAGCAGGAGCTTCTCTTCCTTCTTCACGTCTGTTTTTCTCCTCTTGAGAGAGAGAGGTTTTCTTTCTTTCTTTCTTTCTTTTTTTTAAGCCAACAGTGAGGTTTCCTGTGTTAAAGGTGGGCCGGAGAGCTGCAGATACTGGCAGCAGTTCCTCAGGGCAATGAGTGAATATATGTAAAAACTTCCCCACGTGTTTACTTTATATGAGGGCTTTTTGTGGAGATGTGGTAAATAAAGCCCAACTGATGAATGCTACACTTCTGTTTCAGGGAGAAGTTTTTCTCAAATGTTTACATTACCAGTGAATACTGGAGAGGAGAAAGTGAAGCGTAGGCACAATGCATGCAAGGCGTTTGACTTCAGAGCCCTTTGAAGATGTTCCAGGGTGTACTTACATTTTGTGAGTGTTAATCTTGCAATTAATTATCATACAAAGAAGCTAAAGCACTTTAAAGCTTTGTGGTTATTTTACGAAGATAATTATTTTAGAGACTGCTTTAAAGTTTTGATTTTCCGAATGTTAGCGAGTGTGGGATTTCTGTAGATGTTTCTAACCGTTCTTGATTTTTTTTCCCCTAATTTTTACCTTTTACTAAAACAGCAATTGAAGAAAAAAGAACAGAAATGCTATTGTGGATCATTTCGGTGTTCCTTTTATTTATAATGTCATTTACAGGTATTTTTAGTGCAGGTATCTTCCTGTTGATTTGAAATGTGTCAAGTTATTACTGTGGGCATAGGTACAACGACTAAAATCTCATCATTAATGTCTCCCTCAAAGATCACTGTTCCTTTTTAGCTTCAAAATACAATTTGGCAGGCGCTTGCCTTAAGTGGGTTGGAAGCTTCTCAGTTCATTGCAGGCTTTGGATTATTTTCTTTTCTATGTTGATTTCAGCATTGATTTAATACTCTTCACTGGCAGCTCTCCCTATCTTTTTTTTTTCTATTCCATTTGGAGCTCTGCTTGCGTAAGATTAGGTCGGTAGTGACTGCTCTTCCTCCTGCTGTATTTCGCTTGGTTGTGGGTAAATCAGATGATCTAATGTATTTTCATGAGCTTCTTAAATCTTTCCTTATTTTTGTTGATTGTTCTGCTTTCATTGTTATGTCATTCTCTTCATATTCTGTGCACTGCCAAGAGCTGTGGTCAATGAGCTGGACTTGGTTGCCGTGTAGGGCTGAGTCATGTTGTCTTGCAGCTCATCTGAGTGCCGAGCCAGCAGGAATAAGCAGCTTGGTTTCCTGCATCCCTATGTGTATGTGTGTTGTGCTATTAAGCAAAAAACCAGCTGTATTAGAAAAAGGAGTGGTTTTCAGACAACCTCTTTTTTTCATTGTGCTGTACAGTAAGTACAGATATTCTGGGAAAAAGCATCCTCAGAGGATTATATGAATTTATGTTGGAAGCTAGCTAGCTGGGACAAGTGAGTGAAACAGACACCTCAAGCTTCAGTATTAAGAATGTTTGAGATGGGCTAAACTTCTGTGCGCTATGCCCTGAAAGGACTGGAAGACACAGCATTGCCTTTATGCTTTCAAGCATGCAGAGTGAAGGGACTATTTGATAGAAGGCAGCTGAGAGAGGGAGAGCAGGCAGCTGCTGTGTGTTTGAAGTTCAAGGGATATGGTTGTTAGCAGTGGAGAACTTAAGGACAGAACTTGTCAAGTGGATCTATGAGGATACATGAGGATAAAAACCCTTGAAAAGGTGGTGGCTGAAGGCACTGGCCAGCTGGTTTATTTTGATGTAGGCCTGTACAGTGTCCAGAGGAGCATGTGAGAGGGTAATCTCCCTGCACAACTTTGTGCACTTCAGTAGCCTAAATTAAGAAGCTAGTCTGCTGTGTGCAGACCTGTTGAAAGACCACAAAAAGACAGCAGGATGATTCAAAGCAAAGAGGCAAATCAGACACTTTGAATCTCTGTGGGGAAAAAAAAAAAAAAAGGTTTTCTGTTCAGGCTAAGTGGAAGGGTCCTAGGTAAGCTTGATACCTAATTAAGGCCCTCAACCTTGTTAAGTTTTTATTCAGTTGTGATTGGATGGCTGTTGTAATGGTGAAGTCCTGTAATAAAAAGGATGGAGAGGAGGTGGCTGTGAATCAAGTTATGATAAACAAAGAAATAAGGACGGTAAGTAAAAGAAGCCTTGTTGGTACTCCTAAATCCCTTTGTAAAGTAAGGATTTCAAACCTAGCAATTTTACTGAAAGGCAAATTAATACCATTTGTTGAAAAAGCAAACTGCTGGATAGAAAGGGAGGAAACAGAACTGCAAGATATTAGAAGTAACTAACATATTTATGCACTGTGATTTTTACTATAAGTTAGCTGGCTTCTTTTTGCTCTGCTGGTGACTCATTCCTCTGGGGTGATTAGGTTGAATGAAGCTTCGTTGCTGCTCTTGAATGAAATTAATTAGAGCCATTGACAGTAGTTGGAAGCAGGAGAGATTTTGTTTTTTTGCTTACCAGCCATTAAATATTATTGATTTTCTTCAGTCAGTCAATGTATGTGGTTTGGAAGCACTATTCATTTGTGTGTTTTCTTTTGCCCCCATCTAAACTAACTTTTGGAAAAATATGCTGAAACACTAGAACAATGAAGAGAGCAAAACGTAAATTTTACTTAAAGACACCTAAATAAGATGAAATATTGCTCTCGTATGATATAATGTTCAAAGGTAAATGTAATCTAATGTGCTGAGTTAAATGCTATGGTAGCAATATTATAAAAGCTTAAGTCAGTTATCTTGATTCTTGAACATGAAGCCACTTCTCATTGGTGAGAAGAACACCCTAGCTATCCCAGAATTCTTCAACTTTCAAAGTCATCTCTTCATATTGATTGAGTGTGTAAAATATTGTGAAAAGACAACTTTTCACATGGATGTGACCCACTTTGCTGTACTGTTAGGCATTGCTTTAATGGCTGAACTATGAAAAGGTCCTGCTCTTTGCAGCAGGTGCAGTGCCCCAGCAGAGAGCAGCTGGCCACTCTTGGCAGGGAAACTGAGGCTCTAAGGTAGAACCTGGTATTGTTTTAATGCCTTCCACCAGTCTGTTCTGTATGAAAACAAAACAAATGCATGCATGCATGCACACACACACACAAAAAAAGCCAGGAGCAACTAATACCTTTAAGTTCTGGAACTATCTGCTTAGGTACAATTTATTTAGCCCATTCTAAAAATGTATGAGGTCTTGTGCGTAGCCTGTCTGCCCCTGTCATTATCTGGTTATTACATACTCACCTTTAACAACTCTTCAGAATACAGAGCAAATGGAAAATCCTTTCATGCTGTAGTTTTACATCATCCTCAAGGATGCCAGGCTCTTGAAATGTCAAATGAAGTAATTTATTTATGAGCTGGGGGGTTGTTAAGCTGCAAGCTACCATTTTTGGATAACTTTTAAATCAGATTGCAATACACTTACCTGTTTTATCATAGAAACTCAGAGATACAAAGCAAAACAGATCACCACTGACACTCAGAACTCTCTTACTGATAACTGCAGTTGGTATAATAACTTTGCTTTTCCTACCTTACTGCATAGTTACTTCAGGAAAATCAGTGATAACAATGGCAGTTAGTCATTAGCTTACTATCCAGTTAACTCATCCACTTCTAACAATCCCTTAACTATTTTTTCTCTATGTACTTATGTTCTTAATGGTCATCATGTCCTCAGACCTGCGTATTCTGTTTTGTTTCTGGTTTCTAGAAATCCAAAAGATGAATTTCATGCATGAAATATGAATAAATTCATCCCATTTTGCTGTGGAATTACTGTTAAAAAAAAAACACAAAAACAACTGATTTTCAAAATTTCTAGACAGATACTTTGCACTGTACATACTACTCTTTGCTTCAGCAGGCTGTTGTGGTCACAGCTTGTAATATGTTGTTGCTGCACTAGTTCTCTGCTGAGGTTTTACATACTCTTTTTATCCTTGACTTAGAATGACAAGCTAAGTTTGACTGTGCTTATAAATGAAATGGGCCAGACAATGTTCTCTGTCCCTGAGGCCAGGTAGCATGGCATGACATGGATGGTAGCCACAGTTCTCATAAAATTCCTACACCACTGCTCCTATCAACTCAAGTACCTGCAAGCAGGAAACGATCTCTGACCTCAGCTAACCCTGAACTTCCCTGGAGCCATTTGGGAAAGCACCAGCTGACGTGGACCAAAGCTACGAGGGAGTAACCTAATAATTTAACATCATAAATTGCAGTAGCCTTAGATTGTCACAACTAGTTACTACATACACATATAGTGGTAGTGTGTGTGCGTATCAGTTACACAGCTGCACGTACATAGGGTAACATGAGGCCTTTAATCTCTGTTAACATTGGTTTGACTTCAGATAATGAAGTTTATTTTCAAATAGCTTCTTGAATGTGAGAATTGAACTACTTAAGGGAGGAAATACACTTAAGTGTTGGAAATACAATGGCAAGAATTTTATTGACTGAAGTTCTTAAGCTTACATTTTCAAATCTCTCCTTTGTGCCAAGGAGAAAATCAACTCGAATATGATATTGTTTCCCATGCAAAGCAGAACAATTTCCTTTACTATAAGCAATTTCCCTTACTATACATTATCTGGTTGCGTATGAATGAGAATGAGGCCCTAATTGTAGGGCCAGGCCTATGTTTGTCTATACACCTTGCTAATGAGTTCATTTGCTGTAAACTAGACAGCCCACTTCAAAACACATCTTTGCTGTGATATATGGTAATAAAAAAAAGCACGTCAGCTTAATTTAAAAACAACCTAACCCTCAGGGAGCAATTTTACATGAGTTCTTCTGTTTCTTTTCTGTTATTAATTGCATCCATCTGCCAGAGCAGGTGCAAAAGCTTTAACTAAGTTCTATCACTTTAGCACTAACTATTGAATGTACCCCATCTGTGTTATAGCATAAGAATTATCAATTTCAAAGTCCTCTTCCTTTTTTTTTTCTTTACTCAGTTCCTGCCAGGTACTGTTATCTTAGTTTTTCCTTGGTCTGATAAAACAATAGCAGCAGTATTTATCTTGAACATCCTATTTAAGAACCTGTCCAAATACAACTGGGAGTTCTTGTTTGACTTGAGAATTAGGAGCTTTCTTTTTCTTTTCTTTCTTTTTTTTTTTTTTTTTTTTCCAATTCAAATATCTCTGCTTTCACAAGAATTTCTGAGATTTCCATATTGTGGTAAATTGTTGTAAAATATGTGCCCAGGGACTTTCCATTGCCATCCTTCTCTGGAGCCGCACTTTAACAGGAAACAAGCTTGTGTTTGTTGAACACAGTTTAGCACAGAAAAGACTTCCTCTGTGCTTCTGCAAATCTAAATAACCTCAATTAGTGTGTGTGTGTGTGTGTGGAAGGCAGGGGAGTGGGGGGGGG